ATGTGCCTTCTTGAGCAGAGGAACCTTGCTGGCACTGCAGGATTTCAATCAGCGTAGTGTGTTACCAATTGTTTTCTTGGTGACTGTGGTCCCAGCTGCCTGGAGATCATTGACAAGATCCTCACGTGTAGTTCTGGGATGATTCCTCAGTGTTCTCATGATCATTGACACTCCACGAGGTGAGATCTTGCATGGTGCACCAGATCTAGGGAGACTGACAGTTGTTTTGTGTTTCTTCCATTTGCGAATGATTGCACCAACTGTTGTCACGTTCTCACCAAGCTGCTTGGCGATAGTTTGTTAGCCCAGTCCAGCCTTGTGTAGGTCTACAATATTGTCCCTGACATCCTTGTACAACTCTTTGGTCTTTGCCATGGTTGAGAGTTTGGAATCTGATTGTTTGATTGCTCCTGTGGACAGGTGTCTTTTAGACAGGTAACAAAATGAGATTAGCAGCACTCCCCTTAAGAGTCTGCTTCTAATCTCAGCTTGTTACCTGTATGAAAGACACCTGGTAGCCAGAAATCCTGCTGAATGATAGGGGATCAAATACTTATTTCCCTTATGAACATGCAAATCAGTGCATCATTTGTTAGACATGCATTTCTTTAGAATTTTTTGTTGCTATTCTGTCTCTCAATGCTACACTACACTTACAATTCGATTTTTAGACTGATCAGTTATTATGGGGGTGGGGCAGTTGTTGGGACCAGCGCCCCTTAGTGCCACAGAAAGGCGCGCAGCCCTGTTCTTTTGGGCCACACATATACAGTGTGTACGCTCTCTTGTCATCTATGATAAATTACGTAGCTGTAACAGGGAAAGTACACAATGCGCATGTGTGGCCCAAAATTACAAGACAGCACATTTTGTTATAAGACGTTATTTTAGTTCATGAAGTAAAGACTGGCCATACACTAAGATTTCTCTTGTACAGCCCCATATGGGCAGGTAGAAGAAACTCAAATGCTGGCTATTGTTTTGACAGCTAGAAACCCACGGCTGTCAGAATATTTCAACAGTGGCTGCATCTTATTGGATTCAGTCACTGTACAGACAACACTTTTCCACCTGGCTCCTTTGGTTTTCAGGTCAAATGATGTTGGATATGAGGGTGCTAACAAGGCCACACATGGATTGAATTTGAGTCAGTTCATCAGGGATTGACCGAAATTCACTCCATCTCTAGCCAGCTTTAGTGCCTCATTTAGGTACATTAATTTCATCAGTCATTTTCTCGTGCATAAAGATGGTCCCCTAATAGAGAGAACATAGCAAAGATCAAAGTTAAACTAAAATACTGCCCACCTAATTTAATGCAAGTTACATTTTAGAAGACTTTCATTCTGGAAAAGGTTAAAGAAAGGAAAGCGATTGAGTTTGGGAAGAAAGCACGCAAGGTTGGCAAGAAAGCAGTCAAAAATGAATGCAGTATCAAAGCAATGAATAGCCAGAAAAAGATCAGTGGAAAACTGCTGACACGTATTGCTTACTGTGCCTCTCCCTATTTATTCCACACCACCTAGATTCCCTTTAGGGCACCTTTTAAAGAGTTGCCTAGTAAGCTGCTAAGCCATACATCAAACTTTACACCAAACTACATTACCCAACTACTTTCAGATCCAGCACCTATGTACATTGTTCAACTACAACTAGGGTGCCCTTAGTTTACAAATAACCAGTGGAAACCCAGGAAAACACTGAAATAGTGGATGAAGATTCATGGCCGCAGCAAAGCAAAGTTTTATAAACTCTGGTAAACAAAGTAAAATTACCGTACACATGTAATGACTCATGACAAAGTTAACAGTGAAGCTGTGTACCAGACACTATACACCCTGTTCCAAGTTATTATGCAAATTCTATTTAAGTGTCACAAAGATTAAATATTTTGTTTTTAAGTTTAACTCATGGATGGCATTGTGTGTCAGGGCTCTTTTGATCACTGAAAACAATCTCAGACACCTGTGATAATTAGATTGGCGGAGAGCCCAATTTAAGGAAAACTACTAAAGGAGGGTGTTCCACATTATTAAGCAAAGCACCATTATGTGGAAGAAAAAGGATCTCTCTGCTGCCGAAAAGAGTGAAATAGTTCAATGCCTTGGATGAAGTATGAAAACATTAGATATTTCACGAAAACCTAAGCGTAATCATCGCACTATTAAAAGATTTGTGGCTGATTCAGAGCACAGACGGGTTCGTGCAGATAAAGGCACATTGAGGAAGATTTCTGCCAGATCCTGCATGGGATCAAGAGAACAGCTGCTAAAATAACATTAAATAGCAGCAAACGGATATTTGAAGCTGCTGGTGCCTCTGGAGTCCCACGGACATCAAGGTGTAGAGTCCTCCAGAGTCTTGCAACTGTGCATAAACCTTCTATTCGGCCACCACTAACCAATGCTAACAAGCAGAAACAGCTGCATTGGGCAGAAAAATACATGAAGACAAATTTTCAAACAGTCCTGTTCACTGATGAGTGCCATGCAACCCTGGATGGTCCAGATGGATAGAGTAGTGGATGGTTGGTGGACGGCCATCCTGTTCCAACAAGGCTGCGATGTCAGCAACGTGGTGGTGGAGTCATGTTTTGGGCCGGAATCATGGGAACAGAGCTGGTAGGCCCCTTTAGGGTCCCCGAAGGTGTAAAGATGACCTCTGCAAAGTATGTGGAGTTTATGACTGACCACTTTCTTCCCTGGTACAGAAGGAAGAACTATGCTTTCCGTAATAAAATCCTCTTCATGCATGACAATGCACCATCTCATGCTGCAAAGAATACCTCTGCATCAATGGCTGCTTTGGGGATAAAAGGAGAGAAAGTCATGGTGTGGCCTCCATCCTCCCCTGACCTCAATCCTATTGAGAACCTTTGGAGCATCCTCAAGCAAAAGATCTATGAGGGTGGGAGGCAGTTTACATCCAAACAGCAGCTCTGGGAGGCTATTCTGACATCTTGCAAACAAATTCAAGCAGAAACTGTCCAAAAACTCACAAGTTCAATGAATGCAAGACTTGTGAAGCTGCTATTAAATAAGGGGTCCTATGTTAAAATGTAACGTGACCTGTTAAAATGTTTAAAAAGTTAAAATGTTGTTAAATGTTTGATTGAAATAGCTTTTGATTCCAGTAAATATGCTGCAAACACAACAAATGACAATTTTTAGTTCTTTACAACCTATAAAGTGTTTTGAAACTTACTGTGCGTAATAATTTGGAACAGTTCATTGTAAGTTTTTTATGTTTAAAAAAAATACTGTTATTAGGAGGTTTGTTTAATAAAATTTGAATTGTACTCTTAATAGTTGATAACATGAGAATTATGCTGACTGTTATTTACATCAATTATTTAGGTAAATGAGAAAAATATCATTTGCATAATAATTTAGAACAGGGTGTAAAGTGCCACACTGTGCTTTCATAGCGCCGCTTTCCTTCGCAAAGCTCCGACAGAACTGAGCCAATCGCAACTTTTACAGGAAAAGTAGAGATTTGCATGCAAATTCAGCTGCCTGTATGTCCTGATCTACTCATGCAGCTCTCTCTAAAACTAGGCACACACAAAGTTTTTTTTTTATTATTTATTCAACCCAGCAGGCTGAATGAAAAAAACAAAAACAAAAAAAAAACCACAGTGATCACTATACTAACACAAGTGACCTCCCCCGCTGTGCCTTTGTGTTTTGACAGGGGCCATTGGCTGCCAGCACTGATCGGATGTGAGTCAGAAGATGGTTTTCCACTATGTTTGATAGGAGCCAGCTTCTGTAAAACAGACAACTATACACATGCCCCAAAAGATTTTGGCTGATTTTAGACCCGTGTGTACAAAGCTTAAAAGTAAGTTCTGCTTTTGAAAGTTTTCAGCTAAAGTTCAGCTTGACTAACTTAGGTTTATCACAGTTTTAATTTAAAACCAAAACTTCAAATTGATACAAATTAGGAAAAAAAAAAAAATTAAAGAATACGTAAACGCAACATTTCATATTGCTGATATGTGACTGCTGTGCCATGTACTTGTATGAAAATGTATCCTGTTCTCTTTGTATTGCTTCCTTTGTGTGAAATTCCTGGTGTTCCTGCCAGTCCCCCTGCTTTCCTATTAAAAACTGACTACACTAGGCACGAGAGCACAGCATTGGTCAGTTCTCTAACTGTGCTTGGAACTCCGTGTGCACTTCACCGATAATCAGACTTCTGCGGACAAGTCTGATCAAACCCCCCCCCCACTCCCCAAAAAGGCAGGCATTCACTTGGCAGATCAGTGTACTGCTGTTTCTCCTCCCTTAGTTTCTTATGCAGCAGAGAACAGAGGGTATGTAATCACTTATAAAAAAAAAAAAAAAAAGGGAAAGATATTTATTATGTTTTTATATCTATACACAATGTTTTGCCTTTCATTCCTATCTTACACTGAATAGGTTGTTTTACAAGGTGAGGGTTTAAAATCGCTTAAACATATCTGTATCTAGAGATATAGTTAATGTACCTGGAATTCTATTTTTAGCTTCCTGTAAGAACCCTACACCAGGGGAGGAAATGTCAATGCTCTAAACCAGAGGTCTCCAAACTTTTTAAACAAAGGGCCAGTTTATGGTCCTTCAGGACTTAGGGGGGGGCCGGACTGTGGCCATTGTGAGTAGAAAAGGTCTCGGCAGAGTAAACACTACCCCATCATTGGTTTTAACAGGAGAATAATGCCCCATTGTTGGTTTAGCCGGAGGAACAGTGCCCCATGGTTGGCATCAATGGGAGGAATAGTGCCTCATCGACTATGTCAATGGGAGGAGTAGTGCCCCATCATTGGTCTTAGCAGGAGGAATAGTGCCCCATTAATTGTGTCAGTGGGAAGAATAGCGCCCATTAATAGTGTAAATGGGAAGAATAGCGCCCCATTAATAGTGTAAATGGGAAGAATAGTGCCCCATTAATAGTGTAAATGGGAAGAATAGTGCCCCATTAATAGTTCCCTGGGAAGAATAGTGCCCCATTAAATTCCCTGGAGGTATTCCCGAGTGTAGCTCGGGGTAAAATTTCAGCACCACAAGCGGTAACCCCGAGCTACACTCGGGCTTACCATGCGGCGCAATCCCTAGATCACTTACCTTGTCCTGTGCTCCCGCGATGTCCCTCCTGCAGTGTCCCGGCAATGTAATCCGGCGGATGCCAGCATCTGTCATCTGGGTTCCGTCCCCTGCGAGCGTCGGGATGTACAGGGGGACGGAATGGTGGGAAATTTGAAAATGACAAAAAGTGACATTCACTAAAATCACATAGTAAAACATTACTGTATCAAAGCATTTCACATACATTTTGTCCCGAGTGCTTTGTCCTGCGCCCTGCCTGCATTTTTACCGTTCTTTCTACCTGGAAACTGAGAAACGTCCATGGTGTCCAAAAAGCGTCCCTTTAGGTCAAAAGTGGTTTTAGACCGGCTAGAGAACAGCGATAGTAAATTAGAACTACTTGCAGAATTGAGTGATGATTCGTGGGGAAATTGGTCAGACACTGAAAACGATTTTGCAACTTTGCTCAGTGATGTGCGAACCTGGCGCTATATTTCAAATTTCAGTGTTTTTGGTTTTATTATATTATTGAATTAAATTTATTAATATTATATAATTATTTTTTAGGATTATTTATTAAATTATAATTTATGATTTCGTGTTTCAAGTTTTATCCTACCGGGGATGTTTACTAGACTTTTGTTCGGACAGATTTCAGTGAGCTATTCCTAAGAATTACAGGCTTACAATATAAAACGCCAAAATTTCCATGCAAAATAATCATACCGCCAGGGAGGTAAATGGTGTCAGTGGGAGGAATGGTGCCCCATTAATGGTGTCAGTGGGAGGAATGGTGCCCCATTAATGGTGTCAGTGGGAGGAATGGTGCCCCATTAATGGTGTCAGTGGGAGGAATGGTGCCCCATTAATGGTGTCAGTGGGAGGAATGGTGCCCCATTAATGGTGTCAGTGGGAGGAATGGTGCCCCATTAATGGTGTCAGTGGGAGGAATGGTGCCCCATTAATGGTGTCAGTGGGAGGAATGGTGCCCCATTAATGGTGTCAGTGGGAGGAATGGTGCCCCATTAATGGTGTCAGTGGGAGGAATGGTGCCTCATCACTGGTGTCAGTGGGAGGAATGGTGCCTCATCACTGGTGTCAGTTGGAGGAACAGTGCCCCAAGGGCCGCACAGAGTAAAGCAAAGGGCCGCATCTGGCCCCCGGGCCATAGTTTGGAGACCACAGCTCTAAACAAATCAGTATTAAACCTACAGAATGGGAAGGAACTAGGGTAACCAACAATCACATTGAAGACCCTTCAGTGTTTAACTGGCAGTCAGGGGGTAGGTCCTTGTCAAAGATTTGTGCTGCTTAGCTGCACTGGAGGTCAGGTGTCTTTGTTACAGTATCTGCCTGAGGTATGTGAATCACAAGACTGAACAGGAAACAAAGTCTTTTGGCTGGTAAATGTATTACTATTGCCCATTTATCTGAAGCTTAGCGTTAATATAAACATGATAGGAACATCTAAAAATAAAATATTCCTAAAAATTACATGATGTCCTTTGCAGCTGGTAACTAGTCACTCCTGCAAGTTTCAGACAGATGAAGTCAACATACACAAGTAGTTAGTGCTTCTGCACTGATCACATTAGATTTGTGTATAGTGCCAAGTCAATCAAAGTGCTGACAGTTACATCCCTGGTGTTTTGAAGTTCCCTGAAGGTCAATGCTACACAACATAATTGTCTGTTAGCCATCCTCCGTGGTCTTTATTTTTATGTAACACTTCCCTCCCTCAGTGGCCTGGATGAAATGCTCCATTAGCTTCCCATGACACATCATTGCAGCAAGGCTGATTTAGTAGCGGCTCAGGGTGTGAGGAAGAATAATGACAACAAGGGATGGGAAGGTCTGGACAGGATTAAAAGGAACTTGAATTCCTCTTAAGAGAGTGTACACCGGTTACAGCACATTGGATGGGGTTATGTGTAGTCTCACTAGCAGGGTTATAGGGGGCATCTGTTCTGCATATGGAACTGCAGAAAAAGAATCCTAAATCTCAAAGTGACCAGTGCAAAAATCTATCAAATGCCACTAAATCGCGCCGGATGCAAAACTAACTCAAATATGTGCAAATCATATAAATCCCCTTGCTGCCACTAAATGATCATCACAATTAATAAACATAATTCACAGTAAATTAGTGAAAAAAAGTGGTGCATGCACTCCACAGTGCCAAAACTTAATAAAAAAATAAATAATAATGTGTATATATATATATATATATATATATATATATATATATATATATATAAAAATAAATCTCCTGTCTAAACTAATTTATCATATATCCTCAAAATATCTTTCAGTGAAAATTACATAAAAAAATAACAAATAAATAAATTCACAGTGACCAGAAAAATTAGTGATCAAATCAACCCACTATAGTGAGCAAAACAAACACAGTGATAAAACAAGCAAAGTCCAGTGATATAGAAATAAAAGTCCAGTGATGAATATGTCCTGTGATAAAAATCATACGGTGTTGAAAACCATACACCGTGCTCACAGTGTGCCCCCACTCGGGTGTGCACTCACCAAATGTATAATGTCCTCTGCCTTTAACATATAGAATACCGAAGACAGCTTCCGCTGGTGAGTACTGGGAGTTCCTCCAGACTTGGCTCATTCAATGAACAAATGCCAGGGTTACCTCATAGGGTCAGAAAATGATGAAACGTGTCAGGGCACGACGGTGCGGCAAACCGGAAGTGACGTGGGTCTGTAACCAGAAGTGACATGACGGCGTTCTGTCCGACAGTTCCAGAGGTAGTGAGAGCACCAAGCGGTCTCTGCTGATCACTAATACTTGCAATATGGGCTTGTTTTGATTTTATACATTGTAAGTGCAATACTTGTAGCAATAAAGCGATAAATCTTGGGTAATACACTATTGGAGCGGGTCTTGTTCTCTTTTCATGATATGGAGAAGTATGGAGTAATAATGGAGTGGATACTTGAATAACCCTGGCATTTGTTCATTGAATGAGCTAAGTCTGGAGGAACTTCCAGTACTCACTAGTGGAAGCCCTCTTCGGTATTCTATATATTAAAGGCAGAGGACATTATAAATTTGGTGAGTGCACACCTGAGGGGGGGCACACTGTGAGCACTGTGTATGTTTTTCAACACCATATGATTTTTATCACGGGACATTTTTATCACTGGACTTAATGTTTGCATCACTGGAGTTTGTTTTATCACTGTTTGTGTTGCTCACTATAGTGGGTTGATTTGATCACTAATTTTTATGGTCATTGTGTATTTATTTTTTAAATTTATATTATTTTCACTGGAAGATATTTTGAGGATATATGATAAATTAGTTGAGACAGGAGATTTTATATATATTTTATTAAGTGCTGACAATGTGGAGTGCATTCGCCACTTTTTTCACTAATTTACTGTGAATATTTAGAAAAAGAATCCTGACCGCAGTGCAGAGAGCACAAAAATGTGAGGAATTACTGTGGAGAATCTAAAACCATGAGACATAGCAATGTAATGTAACTTGTAGGCCATACAAGTATCACCAAAAGACAGTTTTGCGAAAGACAAAGTGGAATGCCAACTAAAAGTCTTTTCTTGGCTGTTAAAAGAATAAGGTGGGGTTACGTCAATTATTGCCATCTGTGGCCAAGACTCAACCTATCTGCCTTTGTTACCCCTGTCCTTTGGAAAAAGTGAGAGAAAATCCAAAAACTGGATGCCAGACAGAGGGTGGCAAGCAGGAACAGACTAATTGGAAAAATATAGCTCTGACCTGAAGCAGAACTCTCTGCACCAAGTCAGAGTAGTAGTCTGGGAGTTCTGCAAAGTCCTGAGCAACTAGAACACAGACCTGGTTACTCAGCAGGATTGTAACAGAAATAACTCCATTGCACTTGATAGAATGGGAAATCCTTGTTGCTCGTTGGCCGACTGTAGAGACTTCCAGGATTTTAGTATTTAGCCCGAATCTACCAGCTGCGGATGACAGTTTAAAAAAAATAAAAAATTTCCAAATGAACAGAAAATAAGTCTGATACAAATTAGTGTTTCACTGGACTAGCCTCCAATTTTTTAATGTGCCTAGTGTCCATTTCCAGAACAGATAGATTCCTTTCAAGAGCCACAGCAATGCTTCCCCACATTAACCCCCCCAATAGGGTTTTTCTGAGTGTACTCCTGCCCAAAAATAAAACTTTAACATGTAAAGCCTTCTATTTTTCCATAATTCTGCCTTCAAATGTATAAACAGCAAAAGTACAGAGGGTTGGACAAAAATATGGAAACACTGCATGATTTGCAGGTGTGAAAATGATATGTTTAATGTTGAAAGCGGAAGTGATAGAACATTCTTTTTGCTTCCACTGCGTGATGAGATACCTAGCTAACAGGTGGGAAGCCTCACTTTAGTCATTCACTGCGTGCACTGCTAGTAATATGGAGTCATGTCGGAGCTTACTGAGCTTTAAAGAGGTCAAACTCTTGGTGCATTTGTGACTGACATTAAGGTACAATATAAAAAGTTATAATGGCAAATGCAGTTTCAAGGAAAATGTAATCTGATGAGCATACACGCGGTCGACATGGTCAACTGACCAGAAGAGACAAAAAAAAAAAAAACACATTGTGCAGGACTGACATGTTGTAAGAAAACTGTTGTAAAGTTGACTGCAGAGCTCAATCTCTGTCTTCCAAGGCCAGTGTCCAATAAAAAAAAAAAAAAAAAAAAACTGTATGGGAGGGAACTCCATTAGCAAAATATTCATGGGCGAGCTAAAATTGCCAAACCACTGGTGACTGATATTAATGCAAAGAAGAGGAGAGAGTGGTGCAACACCCATAAATAGTGGAATATAGATCAATGGAAGACTAATGAATCGAGCTTCACACTGTTCCAAACCACCGGACAAGCTTATAAGTGGCAAACACTGTCCCAAACTTACAACCAGGACTGTCTTGTACCAACAGTGAAGCATGGCGGCGGCACAATCATGTTTTGGGCAGACATATCTTGGTATTCTGCAGGTCACATCATCACCTTGAAAGGTAGATTCACTACCAGCGACTATATACAAATCACTGCAAGTGCACGGCAACTGCAGTTGCTCCAGAGCTTAGTAAAAGGAGGTAAAGCATCACTTTGCAAAGAATACCCAATCACATGCAAGGAAAGAAAAAAAAAAAAAAAAAAAAAAAAGCATCTTTGCTTAAAAAAATCAGCAGAGCTTCCCCTCAGATCTAGAGTAGGTGCACTT